AAATCTTTTAAAAAATAAAAAATAAATAAAATAATGACTAAATAGGATACTGCGTATCCTTAAGATGGTGGCTGATACACGTGCACACACAGAGGAATATTACTCAGCCATAAAAAAGAATGAGAGCTTGCCACTGCAACACATGGGTAGACCTAGAGGGTATTACACTAAGTGAAATAAGTCAGAAAAGACAAATACCATATGATTTCACTTATTTTATTTTATTTTTTTTATTTTTAAGTAATCTCTACACCCAATGTGGGGCTCAAGATCAAGAGTTGCATGCTCCACTGACTGAGCCAGTCAGGCGCCACTTCATCTATTTCATTTTTAAAGATTTTATCTTTAAGTACTCTTTACACCCAACATGGAATGCGAACTAACAACCCCAAGATCAAGAGTCACATGCTCTACCAACTGAGCCAGCCAGGCGCCCTCCATATGACTTCACTTATATGTGGAATCTAAAAAACAGGATAAGCAAAAAAACAGACTCTTAAATCCAGAGAACTGGTGGTTCTGGGGGTGGTGTGGAGAGATGGGTAAAATAGATAAAGGGGATTAAGAGGCACAAACTTAGTCATTTTATAAATAAGTCAGAGATGAAATGTACAGCATGGGAATATAGTCAACAATATTGTAATAACACTGTATGGTGACAGATGACTACACTTATTGTGGTGAGCACTGGATCATGTATAGAACTGTGAAATCAATGTACAACTGAAACTAATATAACACTGTATGCTAATTACACTTCAATACAAATAATAATAATGATAATAACAATAATACTAAGATTCTAGTTCACAATCTTTTGAATTAGAATGTGACGTCTAGAAAGTTACTAAGTACTCTTTGTTTCCTTCTGTCTAGATGTGACTAGTAATGCCCATCCCCATTTCACAAATGAGGTACAAATGTGATAAGAAAGCATCATGATATGTTTAAGTGACAAATAAATGTAGACATGGATTTTGTTTTTTGATTTAGCAAATTGTGAATGGGATGCTGATTTTCTTACCAAGCAAATGGGGAAACCCATCATTTCAGAAATGCCCACCGTTTAATCCACCACATTAGACATTCATTCCTGCCAGATATAGAGAGCTAAGACATTCTGTTAAGTCTATCAGAAAAGTGATTTCAGATCCTAGAATTCATTACCTCCGTAAGATCATGCTGTGGGAATAAGAGGGCATCTTTCACACTGCACTGCAGTTTCTCTAATGATAAATCTCTAAACAAAACTTGTGTCTGACTGCTTCATAACACTGAGGTAAGTGCCACTGTTTCAGAAGACTAAGTGGAAAGTGGTAATCAACATTCTTCCCTAAATCACGGTTTCCAACAGATCAAGAATGTTTCCATCAGTTCCAAATTTTAAAACTCCTGCCAAAAAATATTCATTTGCCAGATAACGAAAAAACTTCGTATCAAATCACTGATAGATCTGTACCATACTGTAGAAACCGTTTGTGCTGCTACTGAGTTTTAATACATAAACCTTTTACTGTGTTAAAAATGTAATCATAAAACATACCAAGCCCAATTTTCAAAATGCACCTAGTAATTTTTCAAAAATGAAAATGGAAGGGTGCCACAACCATAAATAATGTCAACTATAGCATTATAATAAAAAACAATCCGTTGATAACTCACAAGGCTGCTAGCCAAATTCTATTACAAACCCTACCATCAGTTTCTAATCACAGAAGTTAAAGAAATAAGTACATCACAAAACTGAGCAGTTGGGAAGCATAATAAATGAGTAAACATTTAATGCCCTCTTTATACAGTCAGCGTAAAGCAAGGTACGAAGACGCGAATGCCATTTCCCCACCGCAGCACAGCTCCTCGGCCCGCAGCGGGGAGCGCACGCCTGGCCGGTCTACCAGGCAGGAGCCCGGATGCGCTCACTGCTGGGGAGAGGCGCTCACTAACTCACTGCGCTGCCCGAAGCAGCCAGTGGGGCCATTATAAAATCTGATGTTTGGTAAAGGAGACCATTGAAACGGAGGCTCTAAAGCTCTTTTCTGATAAACACACATACACATCTCATAAGAGATTCAACGGACCATGACACCACCTCCCCCATTACTATCTCTCATACAGTGTCGTCATATCCAATTTAAACTTTATTTTCTAAAGTTAGCTATGATCAGTGTTTTACACAAACTAAAATGACGAATGTCCCAAACTACACAGGTCCTCCTCAGAAAGTATGACATGGGCACCATTCTGAGAATGGCTGCAACCCGCCAAATCATGACAGACAGAAGGACACTGCTCTGAGCTCTGAATACACGGTAATGCTTCGCTTTCTACCTTCAGTCAATTCCAAAAATCAATTACCATGTTCTAGCTTTACTAATTTACGTCTTTCAGCGACTACAACAACATTTTATTGGGTATTTTGGGAAAGAGACATCTCAAGAATTCTTGTATGGCACTGAAGCTAAAGAAAAACAGGCAGTCATTTTAAACTACTTTAACAATATTACACGGCCCTAATGTTTCTGCTAAATGTGAGATTAAAGAAAGCAAATAATAAACTATAAAGTAGGTAGGAGGTATAAGTTTCTGCAAATATTCTTGCACTACTAGGGAAGAATCAGTATTTTTTTAAGACATGCTTTATCTAAGACAATAATGGAAATTTTTTTTCATTACTATGCTGCAGCACTGAAGACAGTTCAAATCACCAGGAAAGTGTGGCCTCAATAATGACATGGTCACATAGTATATGGTCTCTACTGAAAAGTAACTTGTGTGAATTGTTGTGCCAATTACCCACCACTTCCCAAGGTGAGCTAATTGTCAAAATGAAAAAATTTCCTAATAGAAACTTGACATAATTAAGAAAATCCTATTAACACATCAAGTCTGTTTTTTAAAAGTCTTAATTTTCAGAGACATAAAAATTATATTTCCACATACCTTACATGTGTTATTGTACCCTATTTTCAAAAAGATCTTTTTATACATTATTCTTCACCTAACCTTCACAAAGAAATCCTTTTTTGGGTAGCACAGTGAAAACTGCTAGGAATATGCAGGTCACTTGTTTAAGCCAAAATTTACTTACATAACTTGACCAATAATCATAGGATTATCAAGTGGCATAGCCAAGATTAAAATTTAGGTTTCCTATTATTCCAGAGAGCTAATAACACCAGTAATAAAAATCTGAGTTTTCAAAACAGCATGAAGAATAATATTGCCAAACCAAAATCTAATCATGTTCTGTTTACAAAGTAAATTATAAGGTGCTCGCTTCGGCAGCACATATACAAAGTAAATTATAAGAGTAGGATGATAATTTTTGTGGTGAGCAGAACTGTATCTTATTAAAAATATGCAAAAAACAAAAAAAACCCACCTCATTACCCCACAGTTAACTTGTCACTCTTAACCATCCCAAATAAAGGTGAGAATGCATAAATTTAAAAAAGGATTCAAAAAGTCCATGTCAAAAAGTCCTAGCACAAAAGTGCACGCAGTGACTCATAAGAAAATCCTTTAAGCCCTCACTTAGAACCTATTTATTGTGGCCATCTCGTTTCTCTCAATCCCAACAGACTAAAAGGTGCAAAGACAGCTGACACTACAGACAAATACAAGTGAGCAACAGAACAGCCTAAGAGATGGAGGAAGTTTGGCCAACACGGAAGAGGCAATGGACAACAGGATCCCCCAAAGGCCCCAAAGTAAAATAATTATACCAATGTTCTCAAGTCATCAAGAAAATTAAACCGTCTTCAGTGAAATCTGCTAGGAGGGCAAAAAACTATATAATACAGTGAGAAAAGCTTTCTGTCAAAATTACCTTGAATTATTCTTGGTACTTACAGTAGAAAGTCTTAAGTTACCTGGAAAATTCTCTAGTGTTAGATACATACGCATTTAAGTGTTGTGCATTTATTTTATTAATCTATTTCACCCAGAATCCTGTAAATATTTTTAAATGTTTTCCTTAAACATTAAATAATGTTTATTTTAAATGTTATCCAAAGAAGGAGCTGTTAATTATAATTCACTAGAATGGCCCCTGAGGGTTTTTGGTTCCAAGATACAAACCTACTGCAGCATGAAACTGAGATAAAGCATCAGCTAGCTGTCCAGCTGCAAGTAATTTCTTGCCCAATTCAAGATGTTTCTCAACATCTGCATTTACTCCACATTCAGCACCTAAAAACAACAACAAAAATAAGTTAACTTTCCGTGACCAAGATTTAATTCTGAAGAATAAAATGTTAAAAATACGGGGCACCTGGGTGGCTCAGTTGGTTAAGCATCTGCCTTCAGCTCGGGTCAATGATCCTAGGGTCCTGGGATCACCCTGTGTTGGGCTCCCTGCTCAGTGGGGAGTCTGCTTCTTCCTCTCCCTCTGCCCTGTGCCCCAATCGCCTGCACTCTCTCCCTGTCTCTCAAATAAATAAATAAAATCTTTAAAATATATATATAGTTATCTGCTTCAGGAATCTGCTCAGATAAGAAAAGTCACAGAAGCTAAAGAGTGACATAGAAAAGGTAACAAAAAAGCACAGTGCTTTGTTTTACAGAGTACAAGTGACCCCAAAATATACGCATTATCACCCTGGTCAATCAAAAGAATGTAACCAGTCTCCAAAATATAAGGGAAACTGCATAACACAGTAGTAGTAAAAATGTGTCAAACAACAAAATCATAATTGCTTTGTTAAACTAGAATTTCATTTTTTTAAAAGATTTTACTGATTTATTTGACAGAAAGAGAGCACAAGTAGGGGGAGTGGCAGGCAGAGGGAGAGGGACAATCAGGCTCCCCACTGAGCAGAGAGCCAGACGTGGGGGCTCGATCCCAGGATCCCGGGATCACGACCAGAACTGAAGATAGATGCTTAACCAACTGAGCCACCCAGGCTCCCTCAGAATTTCATTTTAATGAGTATATCGAGTCCACTCTAATATTCACATACTTATTGAGCATCTACAATGCACCAGGCACTATTCTAGGTATTTGGGATAAGTGAGCAAAACAAACAAAAACCTCCGCCATGCACAGCACTGGACATTATGGAGGGAGGAGACAGACTTCAGAAATACACAGATCACATAGCATGGTAGGTAAAAAGTATCATGGAAAAAGTCAAGCCATGTGAGGACATCAGGAGTGCTGGGGCTTTCAGTGTTAAACAAGGTGGTCAAGGGTGGGCCTCACTGAGAAACTGACATCTGAGCAAAGACTTACTTGAAGGAAAGTTAGGAACTCACCATGCAGATACGAAGAAAAAGAGCTTTCCAAGAAGGAGCAGCTACTGCAAGGGCCCTATGTAAGGAGCATGGCAGGTCATGTTCCAGAAACATGGTTCCAAGATACAAACCTACTGCAGCATGAAACTGAGATAGGCCAGGATGGCTACCCCAGAGCAACAGGAAGACAGTACCATAAGATGAGGTCAAGTAGAGGGCCTGACTGTGTATGGCTTTGGTTTCACTCTGGGTAAAATGGGGAGCTACTGAGGAATTTTGAGTAGAATAACATGATCTGACTGTCTACGACAATTATCAATGTGCTACCTTCTCTGCTCTGAATTCATCCATCAGTACCTGGCTTTAAAAATGGACTGGTTTTTAAGCATTTCTTCTTTACACTGAGCACAATATTACACTCTGTCACAGTAAAATGTACCAAAGGGGCATTGCAGGAAGGACGCTTTCTGGATCTTGTTGCTGTCTTTATTTTTTTCTGGCTCCTGCTGCATGGTGCAAATGGGAGGATATCCAGTGGTGCCCTAACCTAGCCATATGCCCACAGGTCCAGTCCCTCAGCAACCTGGCAGGCTTGACTGGGCACTATCTCCCAATGAGGACATCATACACTCCAGGCTGCATGCCCACAACAGCACCCCAACTTCCCATACTCACAAGCCAACCAACCCGGGCTCACCTATACCTGAGAAGGTTATTTCCTGCTTGCTCAGCTACAGTGGACCAGCTCTAGTCCCAGCAACTCAGCAAATTTTTCTATCAGCAACTTTAGGTTGCACCTATAACTTCTCTAATAAGATCTAAACCCCAGACTTGAGTAGGGGGATCCCCTCTCAGTTGGCCCTCCTTTGGGGACCATCTGTTAGTCACAGAATATCCTGTAGAGCTTTGTTTACATCTTTATAGTTATTCTCCTAACATAACTTAACAATTCTTTATATTAAACTTCCTTCTTTTAAATTACTCTGTGGTCTCTGTCTCCTGAATGGACCCAGACTTATGTACTGTTGGCACTGGGGAGTGGTCCTAGCAGACAGACCCACAAAGATAGGTTTTGAAGACTGGTTTGGTCATGCCCTTGAGCCTCTTGAGTGCAGTGCTGAGCTCACTGTCAATTAGAAATAAGATGTCAATAATCCATAGCAGGTATTAGAATCAGAATTAATCACGATACCATTTGTGGTTGACAGTAATCACATGCTAACTGGAAAACCAAGGCTGCTGCACTTGATCCCAATGACAGTAGTGAGGAAGGTAAGGACTGCGGTGGGGGGGGATTCTCTTAAGTGCACTAGAGCACTTACAGAGAGAAAGAACCTGCTAGCTTGAACCCTCAGCTCAAGTATCCCTCTGTGAGCTTCCACGGCAGCCCTAAAACAATCTCCTATTTTGGGTAGCCACAGAGCTGATCTAGCTGAAAATCAAACACAAAATTTAATTGAATGTGTATAGAAGGGTGCATATGGAAACTAAGAAGCCAAGCATTTCTCTTTTACAGTGAGTGTGATGTTAAGCTATTCAGGGTGTTAAATGGACACTGCAGAAAAAAAAAAAAATCTTCGGAACAGTCATCTCTTGGGAAAGTGAGAGAAAAGACACACTGGGAAGGGGCAAGAGAGAAACTCCCAGGGTGATGATAATGTTCTAATCTTGATAGAGGTATGGGGTACACTGGGATGTGCAATTATCAAAACTTAGCAAACAGATACTTAAAACATGGACAATTATATATAAACTTTACATCCAAAAAAGCTGTTGATGATATGCATGTTAAAGTATTTAGGGGAGGAGTGCCTAGGTGGCTCAGTCATTAAGCATCTGCCTTCGGCTCAGGTTATGATCCCAGGGTCCTGGGATGGAGGTCCGCATCGGGCTCCCTGCTCAGTGGGGAGTCTGCTTCTCCCTCCCCAACTCGCCCTGCTTGTGTTCCCTCTCTCGTTGTCTCTCTCTGTCTCTCTCTGTCAAATAAATAAATAAAATGTTTAAAAAAAAAAGTATTTAGGGGAATGAGTACTGGTATTATTTTGAAATGTATTTTTAAAAAAGAATTAATGGATGGATAGAGAAAGGCCCAGATGGATATGTGTTAAAACCAAGTATGGTATTTGTATTAATGGTAGAATCTAGGTGACGGATACAGGAATGTACACTAAAAAATTCTTTCAACTTTGTGAAATGTTTAATAATAAAAATTTAGGAAAATATATAATATAGTGTTATGATGGGGGAACACACACAGTATTGTGTAAGGACACAAGTTAGGGCACCTAACACCTACAGTTAAATAAAATTTAAAATGCAATTTCTCAGTCACACGAGTCACAGCTTAAGTGCTGGGAAGCTAGTGACAGCACAGGAAACACTGTGAACAGTACAGAACACTTCCTATCATCACAGAAAGTTCTACTGGACAACACTAAGGGGGGTTTCCGGAGGTCTCACCTGAAACCTGAAGGAAAAATGGGAATACCACCAAGGTGAAAAGGTCTTAACAGGGAAACATTCCAAACACGAAGAACACTGCATTTAAATGCCCAGAAGTAAGAGAATTAATGAGGCTTTCAGAGAAATTAAAGTCCTACATTTTGGGTAGCTCTCCTCTCCGTCATGATTTCATTATTCTGGAGTGGGTCACTTCAGGTGCTAGGTGAGTCTCATAAACAGCCGGAGGGAGAGGGAAACCATAAGGTACCTGTAACAATCATGCAGGTGACATGATGGTTATCTGACTGTGGAGCAGCCATGGAAATAGAGAAGAACAGACTGCTCAGAGAACAGAAGAGAGAAAGAAGACTACACATGGCTTACAGCAACTGGATGTGGAAGCCAAGTGAAGAAAGAACAAGAGTCCAGGATGCCCACGGCAACTATGTGAGCAACTATGTGTGCCTGCCACTTTAGTCATCAAAAGCAACTGAACTCTTTTCCTCTACTACAGCAAAGAGCTGAAAGAAATTCACTTTATCTTGCTATTTGCCCTACTAAACAAAGTAGCTTTTTCAGCTCTCAGTGTTCCTAGTTCCTGTACAGTGTCTTATTTCCTTGGGTGCCTGATGGACCCCTCCAGGCAAGGAAGAAAGGGAAGAAGGGGAGGGAACCTTAACTTGATGGCCTCAAAAACTTAGGGTCCTGAAGAGCCCTGTTTGTTTGGGGCAACAACATAAAGAGGTCTAACCCATTTAAGACTGTATGGGTAACACTTAGAGAAATTAGTTGGGAGTTTTCAATGGGCTGGGAAAGCATTTGCTTTCCCTTTTAAAATGAGAATATAGACTCTTGCTCTGAAAATTCACTATGTAATAAAGATTCAGAAACCAGTTCTATTCTGACAGGTCAGCTGTAGTTCCACCTAATTCCATACCATATCCAAAAATATAACCTGCTTTTCATAACGAAGATTACAGAAACGAATGTATTTCATTCAACAAATGATACTGAGTATGTACTATGTGTCAAACTGTGGCCATAACAGAGATGAATAGGGTGGTCTTTTCCAAAGAGACAATGAGGAGAATCCGCCAGGCTTTAGCCATTTGTGAGAATGCTCTAGGCAGCAGGGTTCCCAGCAGTGACTGCAGGAAGACAGACTACTTCTGAGCATTACACTGGCATCTCTGCAACATACTGAAGTCTTTATAGAATACATAATACGAAGAATGGGACTGACTTCCAAGTAATCTTGAAAGGAAAGTGAAAGTATAGGTGAAACAAGATCAGCCATACGTTGATAATTTTTGAAGCTGGGCAAAGTACACCATGGTACACGATATTATTCTCCCTACTTTTTAAGATTTTCCCAAACCAAGTTTTTTAAAAAATTTAAATCCCTTCAATAAAGAGAAAACCAGCAGATAAAAATCTCATACATTAAAAAAAAATGTTCTGAAGTGGACCACAGGGACTAGATCAGGACAGCCAACTGAGAACATGAGCCTATC